TGCTGACTGTATTCGCAAAGGAAGCTAAAGGTGATGCTCCAAAAGAGACGGACAAGACAATCGTTTGTCGCGCTGGTGGGCGCGGGTCGCTCGCCATACCACGATTGTCTTGTCATATACTCACGCTCTAACAAGCCAGAACTCCCTTTCTACTCGACTAACATTGTACTTAAATAATTTCCAAGTGCAGGTGTGGATTGGACAGCCCGTGGACTTTTGAGTTATGCTTTGGATGAACGCTTACTGGACTGCGCGAAGATTCTAGTTACAGGTATCCTCCAGGAACCCTGGTTTCTGGTTTCCTATAGTATCCTTAGTAACAGGGACTTTTTTCCAGCGGGAGCAAATATTGAAGAGAAGGACGCATTGGGGAATACGTTGCTTGTTCAGCGAATACTGATGTCAGACGATTCTGGAGCCGCTTTCCTCCTTGAAAATGGTGCAAAGCACGTAGTTAAGTAAGTATTATGGAAGTAAATCTTCTACTGGCCTTGCTATCATCTAGCTTTTTTTTCAGAGACTCCCAAGGTCGTAGCTGCTTGGAAATGTCGGCATTTTATGGCCTCTTAGAAACTCTCAGGACCATATGTGGACTAGGCGTGAATATAAACCAACGGACAAATGGAGGTTTCGGTTATACAGTTCTGAAACACGCCCTCAGTGAAGGTTTGTTATTTGGTGATGCTGTTTTTTTCCAGCCTGTAACCCATACGGCTTGGTGGGGCAGTGAATGGCACCAGGCAAAGCTAGTTTAGGGCAATTTGTGCAGACCTGCAAGTTCCTGTGACCGCAGTGATTCACTCACACAATTTAGTGGGATTTTGCAAGCCCTGCTAAAGTGTAACATGTAAATTTATACGAACTAGCAAAAGTGTAAAATGCCCTTCTCAAGCTGAACAGCACACCGCTACATTTTCTCTTATTGACGTTAGAATAATGTTCCTGGTGTCTTCTTCTGACTTAGGCAGCCCGTTTCAGCCCTGAACTTCAGCAGCTTTTGGCAAATGCTGCCATTTTTGTCATTTTTTTTCAGACCTATCTTTCAGAGCACTATGACTGCGCTTCGTTACTGGTATCGCTAGGATGTGATCCTAGAGTCCAGTACCGCAGATGGATCCTTTATACAGACAATGCTGCATCATTTTATTGATGCTGATGATGAGAAAGCGGCAGTTTTTCTTGTAGAAAGGTAGGTTCTTGTGTATTCGAATACGGTGTGAATCAAGCAGTGGATTTCACTTTACGCCTTCATGAAAAGCCTTTTTCACCTTGTGCGCTGCAGCTGGACACTGCAGTTAATCATGAAGTGATTGAAAGATCAACTCTATCGGGTGCTGTTCAGGAGATCCGCGTTGCGGATCCTGCGCGTCGGGGTGATTTTCGCAAGATGCGACCTCACTGGAATGATCCTGCTCTGGTGCGACCGCTTATCCACATTTCCTACCACTTTCTCGGAGCTATTCCGAAAATTTCCTCCTCTTTCTCACGAAAGGCAGCGCGTCGACGCGAAAGGGAGAAGGGTCTAAGTAGTTTCACGCCTTTGAACTGGCAAAAACTTGGGAAAACAAACCCGCAAATTCTGACATTTTTCATGGCGAATACAGGCCCAGGCCCTTCTTGAGATCCCAATGTACGCGTGCCTGGTTTTCAAGCTAGTTGACGCTCACCCTCCATGTTAGGATTAGGACATAATAATTTGGCTGGGTCGATTTTGCGTCTTACGACTACCCCCATTTTTTTGCGAGGATGTACAACCTCCCCTTGGTTTTCCCTCCTCAATCAACAAGCGGTGGATGCGGGCGGGGGAGGGGTGGGGGTACATAGTACGCCCCGGTTGGAGTATCCCCAACCACGATGTGCTCTGGTTAAAAATCAGCTTTTTCTGGTGCTAATGTCGCGCATGTGTATCAATTGCAATGCAGCGTTATCGCAACATGGATCTCTTGAACAACATTTACATTTTCCAACATATGAAAGATGTTCTTTGGGGTGTTTCCATGTCATCAGACAGTGAAGGTGTTCTGAGACGTTGCCAGTGAGTAAAAAGCGTTTAGCGGTTGTAATGGCGATGCCGTTCGAATATCACGCGAACCTGACACCGAAAAGGAGGAAGCACCTATCCACAGAGCGGTTTCTTCAAAAATGACTGCTCTGGTCAGCGCTCTTGTCAAAGCGAAGGCCAATCTTGCTGTTCAGGTTTGTAGAAATTCTTGAATTCTGTTTTTCTCTTGCATCTTTTCTGCAGCTGCTTATATTTAGGACCAGCAAGGTCGCACCGCTTGCCATCTGGCCGTTCAACAACACAATGCTGACGCCTTACTCGAAATGTTGAAGGCCAATGATGTGGAGTTCCTATCATTACGTGACAAAATGGGACAAACTCCATTTTCACAAGCGCTTTTCTCGAAGGAGCACGCGGTAATGGAATGCTTATTTGGCACTCTTCACCCTTTACAGCTCCTCTCTTCACAATTTCGGTCAGATTTTGATCGAAGTTTTCCCGTCTGGTAAATTTCGGACTAGAACCTTCGTTTAGCGGAGGCAGTAATTGAGCAGTTTGACCCACGCAACACGAACATCACAGTCTCTTGGTTCGGAACCGTCTGGAGCCTGCCACACACGTACCGGCGCCAGAACATTTTTGAAGATCATCCTTGTTGAAAACTTACTGCAGGGTTTTTTGGGATATCCAACCATGGACTAACCACGGACATCGTACTAATTGCGAATGGAAGCGCCTGCTACGTGCACTTTGGGTGCCGGCGCCATAGCTGACTGTGCCATTATTGCCCATGGTGCGGACGTCAGGTGCTTTGGTTTGAACGGGTTTGGTATTCATGATCAGAAGGATCAAACTACCCCCGAGGACAAAGTTTCAGCCAAATCTACTCCAGAAGGTCAAATTCTAACCGAAATCCCGACGGGAGTGGTAGTGGAGGGGAAAGAGCCACCTATTCTGAGACGTCTTATGAAAGTACAGTCTTTTTCGCTGCGGACGCTGGGGCTGGGTGTGACTCGGCGCCACACTTTTCTTTACCAATTGTGATGACCTGCTAGCCTCCTCAGTTGGTGGACTACGAGCTGGCACCGCGCCAGACCCAGCTCCCTGAAATACCCCAGCATCCGCAGCGGGTGAAATTGTAGCTTTCCGAAAACGACGTATTCAGGACCACCTCCCTCATTCTTCAATCATTTCAGCTTGCTGCGGCTATTGTGAAACGACAACCACATGTTGCTTTACAAACAAATGGGAATGGTACGGAATTTCAGTTTCAACAGTTATTGTCGTATTTCCATATAGTTTATTGTGATGATATTCGATATCGTGTTGCGCGTTCATACAATCTCCTATTACCTGCGGAATGGCTCAAAAGAGGGAGGGTTCGTGGCCAGTATAATGGCTAATAAATCTCTCCGGAAAGTAAGCATTTGGAATTGGCCCTGTGGAAAGGGCAGGTCACCTAGGCAAATCGTTAGAGGATTCTTGTAGAATGTGGATTTGAATAAACAACCCAGCGTAAAATTTAGAGCTTCTGGCATTGACTGATTTTTGCAATGTTGTCCCCATGCGGAAAGCGGTGGGAATAGGTCTCCATGATGATTTGCAGGGTTTAGTGAGGTATTTTGCTTATGATCATTATCCGTGGAAATGAGAGGGTGTGTGAGGGGGCGTGGATTAGACCTACCCAGGGCGGCCTGTTCCTCCAGCTTGTGGCCGTCATGACTTGGGAACAATTGGTGGAGAGGGCGGTTCTGGATGTGCTCTAATCCGTGCCCCTTGGCATGTCCTCTTGCTTGCAAGTATAACGACGCACCTCGAACCAAATACGCGTGTCTGGACGAAAATTGGTCGGATTTCAGTCTCAGAGTCAAGCATGTGGTAGAATCGGGTATCCATTCTCGCGTCCTCGTCCGCATCATACGGTAGAATATTAGCTGGGAAGTGTTGATATGTCAAAACCGCGCTTTCTTTATAGAAAATGAACTTTAGACAGCGTTCTGACTTCACAATGACGCGCGTTGTCGCGCGACAGCTGCAGCAGCGCTCCAAAGCCATAGACGTGATCGTGGTATCGATCGGCGCCAGCGTTCTGCGACTGCGTTGGCGTCCATAACTTTGGAGCGCTGCTGCGATTGTAGCACGTCTACGCGCTGTTACAGCTCTTCATCATGTTTACAGCGCGTCGAGGCGCGTCGTTACGAAGTCTGAACGCTGCCTTAAATGGTTTTTATGTACTACCCTTGAAGGTTTCTATTGAAGGTGAAAACTTGCTTCACACGTCAGTGAAGGCTAACGATTTGGAGAGCGTGCTGTTCCTTCTGAGCTCCAATACCGATGCTACACGAGTGACTACAGATGGATCACGGCGTAGTGCACTTCACTATGCTGCGAACGTTGATAACGAATTGATTTTGCGCAACTTAGTAGGTATTTGTCTCCTTTATTCAATAACTTTCACCCGTATCTGATGAATTTTTACAGCTGTTGGCCGGTTGTGAGGTTGACGTGACAGCAACAGATGGCACTACACCCCTCCAAGTAGCGGCTCGGAATAATCGTGCTCTTCATGCTGAGATTCTCTTAGAAAACGGCGCCAACCCAAATATTGTTGATGAGAGGCGGGAAAATGGTTTGTTATTAGTCTTTTGGGTCTTGCGGTGCAGGTTCCTAGTAGCTTATCGAACGTGTTGCAGCTTTGTTGGCCGCCGTGCGCTGTGGGAGTGTAGACTGTGTGAAAGTATTCGTTTGCAGTCCGAGGGTAGACAGCCTCGCTGTTAACAAGAAGTGAGGCGCTCAGCATTTTTCGTGAACTTAATGACACATTCCGCGATCATCGGACGGACGAGTGGGTGAGCTGAGAGTGATCATTGTGCCTTCCTTGTCTTCTGAGACGATATAAAGGGGAAAGGAGCATGGAATAATGGTCACAGGTCCCCGCCCATTTCTTCGCCAACTTGATTTTTGCGGAATGTGTCTCCAGAAGATCGTTACTGAGTTCCTTCAGACAAGTGATTACCCTTCCAGTTTGGTTTTAGTGGGCAATCTGCCTTGCATTTATGTGCGACGTTGTCGAGCGAAAAACTTCCACCGCGAAGGTCACCAGTGGAAATATGTGAGCTACTTCTGAAAAGGGAAGCTCACCGGCTGCAGGAAAAGGATTTCGCTGCTTACGTCGATATGCAAGACGCCGAAGGAAACACAGGTATCTTCCAAACCTGTGTTGATGAAAGCGGCAAGCGGCGCTGGTTACAAGTACACGGTCAGGGGATCAGACCTCTGATCGATCAGGTCCGGGCCTAGGAAGCCTTCCATTTGTTTTGGGGTTGGCTAATCTGTACCAAGCGTGTACGAGAGGATAAAACCACTAAAGTAGAATGCGCGGCGCTCAGCGGAGAAAGGGCTGGCGGTGCGCCAAGCCCACCCTCACTGACACGTCCCACCATCTGCAGCGAACGGGAGTGTGTCCCTAAATCTACCTTGAAGAAAACTTTCACTTTAGAAAAAATTATTTTCTTTAGGGGAGACTGAAAGGGTACTCTGAATTTCAGCGCTACTTCTGGCATATATGGCTGGAAATGGTGATATATGTCGCTGTTTGCTTCGATACGGCGCAACAATGGGTGCCCGGAACGTCGATGGTGCAACTATGTTCACCTACGAAACTCCCACAAGGCTTCTTCTGTTCCGGTTGCTAGGTTTGTCTTCCAAAGCGTTTGCCTCCAGGGGTCGCTGTGTGCTGTTCGCAGTGAAATTATGCTAATTTCTCGTGCGAGTTCAGTAGGATGAAGTCTTGGTCTTGTGTTAATCAGATGTGCGATTTTCAGATTCACTAGAACGGGAACCACGTTGGTCTGATGGTGACATGTGCGACTGCGGCATTCGTTTTTCAATCACTGTTAGAAAACATCATTGTCGGTAAGTTTTATCTGGTAGAAGGAGGTAATTAGATTAGCGCCGAATGCTTCCCCAAGCTGTGAAGTTTTCCTTTTCCTACTGTAGATTCAAGTCGCTTATATTGAGGCGGAGGTGGTGTAGTGGCGTGTGACCCGCTTACCACGCGCGTGGTTCAGGGGTCGAGTCCCGGTTCGGCTCCCGCTCAGGCCAGCTTAGCTTTCTACCCCCCCCCCCTGGGACGATAAATTGGTACCAGATCGGTTTGGGAGGACGGCTTGTGCGTCGGCTGGTCCCCACATTCATTGGCCACATAATATTCATTGAGCCACAAACCACTACGATTCTGAATGGCGCTAGAAGACGTGCCACATCACAAAAGGGGACTGCTCAACGGCGAAAGCTTCATCCTTTTTTATTCAGATTCGATTGAATTTTTAAAGTCCTGTTACTTTTCGGCGTCATGTCCGGATTCAGAACACTCAATCTTAGGGCCACCTTCCAAAAACATTCTGCGCTGTTAGTATGGACGAAGACAATGAATCACTCCATGCCTCCTCCCGTCGCCTTGAAGATGAAGAAGGGGCGAACCAATAAGGCGCAGAATCTGAATTTTTCTCACGTCGACGCGCCATCGGCGGTTAATGCGCAGAATTGCATCTTTAACCGCCTGCATTACTCTGATCTCTCTCTCTCTCTCTCTGTGTATACCAGTAAAAGCTTCACTTATCTGCAGACATTGCGGTCGTCTTGTGTGTTCCAAATGCTCAGAGGTGACTATGCCGATAGCGAAGTATGGCGAGGAGAAGAGAGTTCGAGTATGTTCATTGTGTGCTGAAGTACTTACTACTGGTGCTGCACGATAACTTCGGAGAAGTTGGCTAGTAGTTCTGAGCCCTTGCTCTTCCATATTGATTTGAGATGCCTTTATTATGGGTGCAACTGTCTACTTATTTTGAAAACATGCCAAGTTACTACTTGTTCCTTTTTAACTTCTCCTGAATAGCATTGCGTTTTCCTACTTAAAGGTACAGTCCACGTTTATCATATGGGCCGAGATAGTCATCCCCTTTGCTCCGTTTCGCCCACTTTGTTTCGTATAATGCCTCTATTTCTTCCGAGTCAGAAGAAAGAATGGCGTGCTCGTAAGGGAGGCACAACGATGAACTGTCTCCGCCTATACGATAAACGCAAACCGTGCTTCCGAGTGAGCCGAAGTGACGTCAAAGTAATCCTGATGACTACATTTTCTCATTGCAAGATCAATTCTCTGTGATTCACTGTGATCCAATATTATTTGATAGAGATTAGGAATTTAAAAAAAGCCATTTGAAATCAGTTTTTCGAGTTTTGTAGGCACAGTCCGTGCTGATCGTTTGGGCGATGATAGAGTATTGTTGTGCTTTCCTCATTGACACACCCCTCCTGCTTACCCTCTTTATCGTACAAAAATGTGAGAGTTCCAATGAGGAACTTACAAGATGATTATCTGTACCCGCCCATATATTCAACGTGGAATGTGCTCGTAAAAGACTATCATTTTAGAGTTATCCCTTGTGCATTAACGACAGGTGCCTTAAATTTCTAAAAGGTGTTGGAATTACTTAGACTAGAGTTGACTCTTGACTAATAGATGTATTAATAATTTATTGCCTTCGATTGGATAATGTGAGCATTTATGCGGTTCAGACATTGTGATGTTTCCAGACTATACATTTCATCATTCCATTTGCCAGTAATTCAAGAGAATATTACAGTTATAATGTAATAATATTGATATATCTATTGAGTTCTATATGCATAATCGTTACTTGAATCCTTCCTGGTTTTTTCTTC